TATCTTTTTGTATCAGTCCTTGAAGAGCTGCCTTGTTCCTTTTGAGGGCTGCAGAGCAGTCTCTGCAAATATGCAGACTTTATGTAGCTAGCCCCCCAATGATGAACATTTAGATTTTTTTCAATTTTTTGCGTGGGCATATTAGTAGGATCAGCCTAGTAATAGAACTGTTGTGTCAAAGGCATTCATTGTTCATAGCAACACTATTCATAATAGTCAAAAGATGGAAACAGGGGCTTCCCTGGTGGCGCAGTGGTTGAGAGTCCGCCTGCCGATGCAGGGGATACGGGTTCATGCCCTGGTCCGGGAAGATCCCACATGCCGCGGAGCGGCTGGGCCCGTGAGCCATGGCTGCTGAGCCTGCGCATCCAGAACCGCAAAAAAAAAAAAAAAAAAAAAGATGGAAACAACCCAAATATCCATCAACTGGATGAATGGATAAACAAATTGTAGCATATGTGCACAATGGAATACTATTCAGACATAAAAAGGAATGAAATGCTGATACATGCTACAAGGTAGATGAACCTCCAAAACGTTATATTAAGAAGCCATATGCAGGACTCCCCTGGTAGTCCAGTGGCTAAGACTCCATGCTGTAAATGCAGGGGGCCCAGGTTCGATCCCTGGCCAGGGAACTAGATCCCAGATGCTGCAACTGAGAGTTCACATGCCGCAACTAAGACCTGGTGCAGCCAAATAAATAAACAAATATTTAAAAAAAGAAGCCATACACAAAAGGTCGCATATTCTAAGCTTCCATTCATATTAAATATCCAAAATAAGTAAATCCATAGAAAAAGAAGAGTAGCCCCTGCTCCCCTCAACTAGAGAAAGCCCACGTGCAGCAACAAAGACCCAATTCAGCCAAAAATAAATAAATAAATAATTAAAAAAAAAAGAATGTTTTGGAACTAGACAGAGGTGGTGGTTGTACAACATAGTGGATGTACTGAATTGTTCACTTTAAAATGGTTAATTTTATGTTATGTGAATTTCACCTCAATTTAAAAGGGGGGGAGGGAATACACATTAATAATTTTGTAGATATTGTCCTACATGAAGGTTGCACCAATCAGTCTATTTCCCCATCCTTTGACCATTGCAATTTTTTTATTAAAGTTTTGTTTGTTTTTCTTTTTTTTTGCGGTACACGGGCTTCTCACTGATGTGCCCTCTCCCGTTGCAGAGCACAGGCTCCAGACGCGCAGTCCCAGCGGCCATGGCTCACGGGCCTATCCGCTCCGCGGCATGTGGGATCTTCCCGGATCAGGGCACGAACCTGTGTCCCCTGCATCGGCAGGCAGACTCTCAACCACTGCGCCACCAGGGAAGCCCATTATTAAAGTTTTTAATCTTTACCTATAAGTAAAAAATATGCAAGTTTAGTTTGATTTCCATTTATCTTTTTAAAAATGAATTAATTTTTATTTATTTATTTTTGGCTGCGTTGGGTCTTCGTTGCTGTGCGTGGGCTTTCTCTAGTTGAGGCGAGCGGGGGCTACTCTTCGTTGCCACATGCAGGCTTCTCATTGCAGTAGCCTCTCCTGTTGTAGAGCACAGGCTCTAGGCAGGTGGGCCTCAGCAGCTGTGGCATGTGGGCCCAGCAGCTGTGGCTTGTGGGCTTTAGAGCACAGGCTCAGCAGTTGTGGTGCATGGGCTTAGTTGCTCTGAGGCATGTAGGATCTTCCCGGACCAGGGCTCAAACACATGTCCCCTGCATTGTCAGGATTCTTAACCACTGTGCCACCATGGAAGTCTCTGATTTCCATTTATCTTAATAGGAAAGGATAACCAACTTTTCACAGGTTTGAGAGACATTATTTGTAGTTCCTTTTCTGTAGATGGTCTTTTTGTATCTTGTGCCCAGTTTTCTACTGGGCCATTGGTCTTTTTCTTATTGATTTATGAGAGCTCTTTATATATTAGGGAAATCAGCTCTTTATTTTGAAATGACTTGCAAGTACATTGTTTGTAGCCAGTTACAGTTTTATGTTTGTGTTTTGGTTTTGATGGTGGGTTTTTCCACATAGACTTTTTTTTTTTTTACATTTTTATTGGAGTATAATTGCTTTACAATGGTGTGTTAGTTTCTGCTTCATAACAAAGTGAATCAGTTATACATATACATATAGTTCCCATATCTCTTCCGTCTTGCGTCTCCCTCTCTCCCACCCTCCCTATCCCACCCCTCCAGGTGGTCACAAAGCACCGAGCTGATCTCCCTGTGCTATGCGGCTGCTTCCCACTAGCTATCTACCTTACGTTTGGTAGTGTATATATGTCCATGCCTCTCTCTCGCTTTGTCACAGCTTACCCTTCCCCCTCCCCATATCCTCAAGTACATTCTCTAGTAGGTCTGTGTCTTTATTCCTGTCTTACCCCTAGGTTCTTCATGACATTTTTTTTCTTAAATTCCATATATATGTGTTAGCATACGGTATTTGTCTTTCTCTTTCTGACTTACTTCACTCTGTATGACAGACTCTAGGTCCATCCACCTCATTACAAATAGCTCAATTTCGTTTCTTTTTATGGCTGAGTAATACACATACACAATGGAATATTACTCCACATAGACTTTTTATTTTTAATGTAAATAAATGTTTTTTTCTCTTATGGTTTCTGGGTTTGGTGACATACTCAGAAGGACTTCTCTACTCTAAGATTTTACAATCTTCTCCCTTTGTTTCTTCAGTATTTTTATAGTTCACTTAAAAAAACATTTAAATATTTGATCGACCTGAAAAAAAAATATGTATGTTCCAATAATTTCAATGGCTGACTCTTTGTTGAGAAACATCAGCAAGAAAGGAGCAACCAACCTGCTCCTGGACACTCTGATCATCCCTAGACTCATTTGAGGAGCTGTGTGCAGCTTTCTCATCTTTCTGCCTGAAACCAGATCTCAGCCAGAGATGCAGTCTGTTTGGATATTCCACTGGTCCTTAGGCTCCTCGCTTGCATCCTAGGCTCTGAAACTGCGCAGGACTGGGCCCCAATCCCAGTCTCCCAGGAAGTTCCTTTCTCTGGTTAAACCCTCATCACTCAGGTGTGAGACAGTGATGGAGGCGATGAGGGCCACTGCCCAGCAGGATTTCTCATCCTTTGTTCCAATTTGAGTAAAGGAAACCAAGGTTCTTGGGGACACTCACTACCTTGTGACTTTGATCAAATCACTTTCTCTCTCCAAACCTCATATTCTTCATCTGTAAGGAGAAAATAACACCTACCCTGTAGGGCTGTCATGAGGATTAAGTAAAGGTGCCCAGTCATAGTTAGTGTGCAACACAAAGACTCATAGTTCATTCAGACACTTTTTTTATTTGGCAAATATTATTGAGCACCTACTAATCCTGGGCACTGTTCTAGGTGTTGGGGATAGAGCAGGGGCAAAAATTTAATGACTGGTGGGGGGAAAGACAATAAACAAATAAGCAAGTAAATATATGAATCAGGTAGTGATAAAAACAGAGAATGACACAGGGTGGGGCCAACCAGGTATCAGGGGAGACCTTGATGTTAAGGATGCCATGTAGTTCACCCAGTGATGGACATTTTAATAGGGAACATAACCTTATTATTTTTCATCAATCTGTTTTCTTGGTTAAGTCCTGTTTCCAAGAGGTCAAGGTTCTTATGGTTCTGTGGAATTGCCAAGTGTTCTTATGGAGGTGGCCAGGTCTGAGAGTTGATGTAACCAGTGGCTCTGTGTTGCTGGCCTCATCTGGGCTGTGACAGATCTCAGAGTTGGGGGCACTTACCTACGAACCGTTCTCCCAAGGGCTGGCTGCAGGGCCACACATGGTTTTTATGTTCCACTGTGAGTGCTAGGGTGGCCACGGTGAGCCTACTACACAGGCCCAGTCCTCAGGGCGTGCACAGGAAGATGAACAAGAAAACTTTTCAATTTTGTGTGAGTTGGACTCTCAGGAGACAGGAAACCCAGGGTCTGGGACACACAGAGGAGGGCTCAATTCTGCCTAGTTAGGGTGGGGTAGAAGAACAGGGAGCAGGGAGCTCAAGCTGGGGCTAGATACCAGGCAGGCCACATCATCCATCATCAACTCTCAGCAACCCCAGCCCCCAAAGCCCACCTCCTTTCTAATCGTCCCATCCAAAGTCCCAGGACAGGCTCTGACTGGACAGACTGGGGTCATGTGCTCATCCTGACTCAATCACGGTGGCCTAGAAGATACATTATGTTGGTAACAGCAGGCAGGGGCTGATGCCAGAGAAGGCAAGTCTGCTATGTATGGAGCCAGAAGTTGATTAGGAGTTGGAAGTTTCTCAGACTCACCAAGCTCTGACCCTCCTTCAACCTCTGCGCTTTTGCACACGCAATTCCCTCTTCTCAGAAAACTTTTCCCTCGCTCTACCAGGCTTTCCTCCAGGTCTCCGCTCAAATATCACCTCTTCCTAGTGGTCTCTTACTCTGCACAGGGCGCTCGCTGCCACAGACACAGCTCATTTGCTGACTGCCTAGTAGAATGTCGGTCTGGGCTCCCACTGCTAGGGCAGGGCCTGCGGGCCGGGACGCCTCGAGGAGCCCAGGCCCCCCAGGAGACGCTCAAGAAACGTCTCCGAGGAAAGGGATGCCACTCAAACACACGCACGCCCATCCACACACAGACCACACCCGCCCCCCGCCCGCTTTAAGGCCACAGGTTGGGGTATCCGTGGATCCCACCCACCTACAAACCCACCTGGTCGGAACTCACGGACACACCCCAGCCATAGACCACTCGGATCATGGTGCACAGGCTCAAACACGCGTGCGCCCACACACGCTCGGCCACACGCAGGCCCTGTTCTCGGCTACAAACAGGGCACGCGCAAGCGCGCGAACAAGGCGATCAACTCTGTCGTGGGCCCACCCGAAACCAGGCGCCCACTACGCGCACGCGCGGCCCCGAGTCCCCGCCCCCTCCGGGTCTCGCCCGTCAGGGGCGGGGCGCTCTGGGGGCGGGTCTGCGGCACCGCCCGGGAAGCTGCGCGAGGCTGGGCGGCCGCCACCACATCCTCCTACTTCTTTTCCTCCTACGAGTCCAAGCGAGCCGAGCCGGGCCGGGGCCAAGCCGAGGGCTCCGACGGCGCGGGCGGAGCGGGGCACAGAGTCATGGCGCACCAGACCGGCATCCACGGTGAGGGAGGATGGCGGACGGGCAGGGGGCCGAGGGTCAGTGCTCGCGGCTGCGCCCCCTTGCTGGCTCTCGGCCCCTGTTTCCTCCCCGGCACCAGCCTGGGGAAGCTTCCTGTTCTCTTTTGCAGCCGCGGGTCGCCTGGGGTGGGCACATCTTGGTGGGATGCGCACTTACTGTGCATAGTTGAGGGTGGGCGTACATGTACGCACACAGCTGGGGTGGAAGTATCGGTGTTCCCTGGGGGTGGATGTGCCTGTGTGTGCCCATCTATGTATTTTTGTTCCTTTCTGGGGGTGGGTGTACCCGGATGTGCACATCTGAGGGAGTGTGCACGCATGTGCATTTTGTCTTGTGTGTACAGTCCTGTGTGTGCACATCTGGATCTGACTGCTTGTGTACATCCAGTGCACATGCACTAATGGCTGATTGGACACTGTCGCATGGAATCATCTTTAGACATCAGTGTTTCATGACTGTGTGCACATGTCTGTGGGTGTCTGTGTGCGTGTGCACAAGTTGGGTGCATTTCAGTGTTCATTTGTTACCATGGATGCATGTATGGCTCGTATTGGTTTGTGTCTGTGTGAGGAGGGGGCCCTGACCTTGGGCTCCTCCTGGGACCCTCACAGACTAGGCTGGGAAAAACCTGGGACAGGTTTTTTTCTAAGTGGGATGTGGAGAGTCGCCAATCTGACCTTGACCTCTGATCTCCCTGCCATTTTCCACTCTGATCCCCTGAGTCTGCCCCAGCCAGTGCTGGAAGGCTCCTGCTCCAAGCTGGAGGCAGGGAAGAGGGTCCTGACCCTAGAGATTCTAGGCCAGCTCCCCCCACCCCAAGCTTCTCCAGCCCAGAGCATCACCCTCCTCCCCCAAGGGGCCGGTTTCCTCCTTATACAGGATGGGGAAGAAGCAGTGGCCAGGAGCCAGGTGTCCTGACCCTGCCTGGGCCTCAGTGTCCTCCTGTGTCACTGGCCTGGGAGGGCTGCCTGGCCTGTGGGGAAGGCCCAGATAGCCCAGTGGTTTGGCTGTCAGCCACTCCTCCCACCACATCAGGATCCCCTGCCCTGGGCCATCACCATCAACCAGCCTGACCGCCTGGATCTCTGCTTGTGGTTGTGGCCGCTTGGTGGCTGGCCCTGAGAGGGTTTCCCTGGCCACACCCCACAGGACCAGAAAAGGCAGGGGCCTGGGTCTGGGCCAGCCATTCTCCAAGAAGAGCTGGAGGGGCAGCTTCATGACTCAGCCCCACAGAAGGGAACAGCCCCTCACCGGACCTGCCCCTTCCTTCCCCTTTGTCTGATCATTGCTGCTGCCTCCGACTGAGAGGGGATCAGAAGTTAGGGCTCCTCCTCCCCACTGTAGGCTGACCGGTCCTGTGGCCTGGGCCTTTCCTCACTCCCTCATTTCCCATATGCTGCAATGGGCCTGCCTAGGGGAATCTGAGGGCCAAGCCCCCCTCCCAGCCCTCCTTCTGCCTGGGAGCAACCCACTCCTTCCCATTTCTGTCCTGAGGAGGCCGCAGGAGAGATCACCCTGGATGCCCAGGTGCCAACCTTGACATGGCCATAGGTGTGGATCTGCTGCCTCAGAGCTGGGCAGGGGAGAGACCTGTAACCTGAGGCTTACTGGGAGGGGGGCGGGAGGTAAGGCAGCGGGGGGTGGGGGTGGGGGACATGAATCTTTGATGATAGAGGCTCAGGTGTCCCAGGCCTGGCCTCTGGATTATTGATGGTGGCTGAGGAGGCATGGAGGGGGATGTCTCTTCCACTACCGGGGTGTCACTTTGTCCTGGTAACACTAGAAGGGGCATGTCAGCCTCTCCCTGGGAGAGGTCTGAGCAGGTGGAAGTGACAGCTCAGTGCGGCCTGTCCCGCCGTCATCACAGTAATAAAAATTAATAATTCCTGGGACTTCCCTGACAGTCCAGTGGTTAAGGCTTCACCTGCTGCTGCAGAAGGTGGAGGTTCAATCCCTGGTCGGGGAGCTAAGATCCCACATGCCTCAGGGCCAAAAACCAAAACATAAAACAGAAACAATATTGTAACAAATTCAATAAATACTTTAAAAAAATGGTCCACATCAGAAAAAAATCTTAAAAAAATATTAGTAATTGTTATTAGGAGAGGCTCTAACCATGTGAGGGGTATTAGCTCCATGTTATAGATGAGTTTGAGGTTCAATGAGGTCAGAGGTCACAGATAGCTATGGGAAAGGTGGAGCCCCTGAGGTAAAGCTCTTCATCAGGGACCTGCTTGAGGTCTGCTGAGGGGCAGCTCTGTCCTGGCGCATTGGGGCTGTGTCTCCATGCCATGCTGCTCTCAGCCCCAAGGGCCTGCCGGACTTAGCTGGGACCCTGCCCACCCAGTGGCCTTGGAGGGTGGTACACAGCGTGAGGTCTCAGGTTCAGGGTCACCCTGCATGATGGGCACCTGAGGACATGACCAGAGTTTGTTTTCCTAAAGGCTCCCCCCACCCCGCCCTTGAGCTGCCGGGTCTGGGCCCTATAAATATTCTCTGACCTCAGCCGTCCAGCTGTGTTCCTGCAGAATTCTCCTGACCCCTGGGCAGCCCCAAGGTCATGCTGGCCTGGCCCTGTGCACCCAGAGACCCAAGTAGGTCCTTCCCAACTTGGACCTTGGTTTCCCTCTCTGAACCACCAGTATATCTGTGACTTCCAGAGCTAGATCTTCCCTAGCTCTGACCATGATCCTCACTTCTGCACTTGGGTCCTTGGTCACTGGCTGTCACCTTTAAGGTCTGTGGCTCAGGGACCAAGACAGGGTCTGTTTTGGGGAGACCCTGAGAGTCACTCCTCTTTCCAGCTGCCTGGGGGTGGAGGCTTATCGCCTCCTGGCAGGGCTGTGCCAGAGCTGGCCTGGCTCCCCAGGGCCCCTCAGGGTTAGGCAGCGTGGCTGGTGGGCTGGGGCTGGGTGTGCATGCATGTGTGTCAGTGTGTACCTCTGTATTTCTGTGTACACTTTGTACAGCCACTTGCCTGTACAAACATGTTAGCCATGCTCTGCATTTGCCTGTGTGTGAATTTATTAGCACCCTGGGGACTGTATCTGTGTGTGTGTGTCTGTGTGTTTGCACATTTAAATGTGTGTGTCCATTTATGTTTGACCAGCTGAGTGGTGTGTTCATGTATGAGGGCGTTTGCATTTCTGTTCCTCTCTCTGTCACATAGTGTTTATGTGTTTCGTTCACACATTCCTGAGTATGTACCCATTGGCACGTGCAACACGCAATGCATGCGTGTGTGTATGCATATACATGTGTGAGTAGACATAGTGGGCAGTGTGCATTGGGAGCAGTTGTTCTTGTATTTTTGTCTGTGGACATGACGGTGCTGGGAGTGTCCCAGGCCAGCTCTGTGCTGGGCCTTCTTGGGGGGCAGGGGACAGGAGGGGGCCGTTCACTCTGGCTGGTTTGGCCTGTCCCAGAGCCCACCCCATTCTCGGGTGGGCTGTCCCATCCCCATGTGCCCTGTCAACAGAGCCATCCTAGCCAGCAGGCTGCCCGCCTGCCACCTCTGCTGGCTAAATTTGGGAGCTTGTGTTCAGCGGCTGTCTCAGGTTCCCAGTCACATGGGGGGCCGTATTTAACCCGGCTCCCAGCTCCGCCACCAGACCCCCAGGACAGAGCGGGCCCTGAGTGTGTTCCTGCCCACCGTGCTCCCTCTGTCTGCTCATCCTCCACCATGTTTCTTGTTCTGGTAGCTACCGAGGAGCTGAAGGAGTTCTTTGCCAAGGCGCGGGCTGGTTCTGTGCGGCTCATCAAAGTCGTCATTGAGGACGGTGAGTGCTTCCTACAGGCGAGGGTACAGGCTGGTGGCTGGACCCCGCTGCTTCTCTGGGAGGTGGGGGACATTGGCCTCCAGCCCCCTCAGGACCTCAGTTTCCCATCTGGAAATGGGAGGTGTCTTGTAGGAGAGGGCTGGAGGTGGGCATGGTCATTCTGCCTGTTACACTGAGCAGGAGGCTGAAGCTGGGGGGATAGCAAGGAGAGCCCTCCCCGGGGGGTCCCGCGCAGCCTCCGCAGAGGCTCTGTAGTTGGCCGTTGGCCTAGTCAGGGGGCTGGGCTGGGTTAGGTAGGGTGGCAGAGGATGAGTAAGGCCAGGCGCTGCCCCGTGTGGCTAGTGCCACTCACCTCCCTGTGTGGTCGGCAGGCCTGGCCTCGCTTGGCCACTGGCTCGGGGAGATTCCTAAGGAGAAGCCAGGGCCCTAACCTTGGGAAGTGCCCTCACAATGGGGAGAAGGGACTCGTGTCAGCCTCTTTGAGAGCAGGACTAGGGGATTCCGGGCTTGGCTAGGCCTTGACCTGGACCCGGGGTACCTGGGGCTTCCGCAAAGGGAGGTGCTGGGGATATAGGGGTTGGGGGGGCAGGTGAGCTTGAGCTGAGGCCTGAAGTGGGGAGGGGCTTTGAGGAGGTAGAGGATTAGACTGAGGCTTGGGGGGACTTGGGGTAGAGGAGTCCTGGAGTAGAGGACAGCTGAGGGGCTGGCCCTGGAAGTAAAGGGTACAGACTCCAGGACTGGGGCTGAGCCGGGCCACCACGAATCCTTCCAGCCCTTCTTGGTAGCCATGCAGTAGTGGGCCCTGCTGGGGGCTCCCCGAATGGGCTTGGTGCCCAGCTGACTTTTCACACATTGAATTGGGTCAAAGCAGGGTCTTCCCAGACCCAGAATTCACCCCAGGCTTTAGGGCCAGAGTTGTGCTGGGCTTTGTCCAGGGTCCCCAGATTCAGATGCCCTCAGAGGCTGGGTTGGGGTCATTGGGGTAGGTCAGCTCCCTGGACCCCTCCGAAGAAGTAGACTCAGGGACCCCAGTCCTCAGCCTTCCCTGTCGCCTCCCAGACAGGTCGTCCCTGTAGACGTTTACCAGGAGGAGTCTCTAGGTGAGCCCTTACCTGCATTCAGCATTACAGCTGTTGGGGCACCTGGGAGTGCCCAGGAGGGTCCAGGCCTCCTGACAGGCAGCCATTGCCCAGCTCCCACTGAGTGTGGCTTGATTTCCTGATTTTTCTAGAGAAGCCATGAATTCCACTTCTTATGTGAAACTTCCCAGTTTGAAAAATGTTGGCAACACATTAAACAACTTGGGCAGTGCTGTTGGGGTCCAGTCGGCCTGTGACTGCTGGGTTTCAGCCTTGATCCCATCTGAGCTCTGGGAGGATAGGTGAGGAGGCCAAGGCCAGAGGGAGGCGGCCTGGCTTGTTGGGACTCCTGGACAGCCAGGCCCCATGCCCCCATCAGGAGGGCCTGGTAGTCAGGTGCCGGTACCCCCTGGCCAGGTGGTGATTGTCCCCTTGCCCCAGTTCTTCCTCTAGCCTGGGCCTGTGCACATCCGGGCTGGTGTTCGGTGCCACACTGAGGCCTTGTGGGCTGATAGGTCAAATGTATGTCCAGCCTCGATACCCCATTCAGCCACTCGGCCCCAGGCATTTAGAGGTTGGCTGCTTTTGATTTGTTACTTTGGGGGAAGCTGCAGCTGGTCGGGGGCAGCAGGGTAGCCGTTTATACAGCGTCTGGTAAGAGCCCCTGTCTCCCTCTTGCCCATGTGCCTTTGTGCCTGCAGATCCCTGTGGCCTGAGGCTGTGATCCCACTTCCCATAGCACATTCTTTCTGAGAAGGGTGTGCTGGGGGGTCTGCTGGAGCCCCAGGCTGAGGGAGGAGGGGGCAGTAGGTAGCCCAGTGGGGCTGTGTGCTGAGGAGCTGTGCGGTGGGTCTGAGTGTGTGGATGTCTGTGAGGGGTCGCGTTGTCGATGGCTGTGGGCATGTGGCTGTGTGTCTTGGTGCAGTTGCCTGTGCTGGGTCAGCTGTGGGCATGTTCTTGAGACCATTTCTGTGTGTGTGTGTGTGTGTGTGTGTGTGTAGAAGGTGCGACCTCGGGCTGGCGGCTGTGTGTCCTCATTCACTCATGACTGAGTCACACAGACAGCCTTCAGGGACGTGGTGGCTCCAGGGGAAGGTGGGGTGGGTGGTCAGTGGGTCTGAGTCACCGCCAGAGGCCGAGGCCCACAGTCACAGGTGGGTGTGGGACATGGCTACTCCTTGGCTCACCTGGCCTCTGCCCCCAGAGCAGCTCGTGCTGGGTGCCTCGAGGGAGCTGGTGGGCTGCTGGGACCAGGACTATGATGGGGCCGTGCTGCCGCTGCTGGATGCCCAGCAGCCTTGCTACCTGCTCTACCGCTTGGACACGCAGAACGCCCAGGGCTTCGAGTGGCTCTTCCTCGCCTGGTCACCTGATAATTCCCCTGTGAGTCCTAGGGACCCCTGCCCAGCCCCCAGATTGGAGGAAGGGGGAAGCTGGGTCTGATTGAGATAACACAGCCCTGCCCCAGGGAGTCTGAACGGGGGAGACATCAGATCCTGCTCTAGAGGGTACGAGAGCAAGGGATGAGGTCCTGCGCTTGGAGCCTGGGGTCTCTGAGAGCCTCCCAGCCAGATCAGCCTGGCTCTAGGAGGCAAGAGGTTGGGCTGGACAGCGGCTCCCCCTGCTGTCTGAGCCACCCTACTGCAGCCTCGCCCCCTCTGCTGGGTGCTCTGCTGCGCCCTCTGCTGGGTGTGTGGGCACAATGAAGTGACCAGGTCCTCACCCAGAGGCTCCTGTCTGCTCCTGGACGGGCAGCCCTGCCTGGAGGGGTCTCATGGCTTGGCCCCCACCCTTCAGGTGCGGCTGAAGATGCTGTATGCAGCCACACGGGCCACAGTGAAGAAGGAGTTTGGGGGCGGCCACATCAAGGATGAGCTCTTCGGGACTGTGAAGGTAGGCCCCTCCCCTGGGCGCCCCTCGCCCCCTTCAAGGCCAGGATCACTAGGTTGCGGTCATGAACCCACAGAGGGTGAGGTGTTATACAGGGTCCAGAGTAAGTGGGTGCCAGGCTTGGGGGTGAGTAGGGAGGGCTGTGAGGGTCCAAGGTCTGCAAGCTGGGGTACTTAGTGGGCTTCTGCCAGCCCACCCCAAGGTGCTCATTTATGCCTCTACATCCACCGGCCAGGATGACCTCTCCTTTGCTGGGTACCAGAAGCACCTGTCATCCTGTGCGGCGCCCGCCCCGCTGACCTCAGCCGAGAGAGAACTTCAGCAGATCCGTATTAACGAGGTGGGTGCGCTGGACAGGGTGGGCAGAAGTCCTGGCCCGAGGCCTTCGAGGTCACGTCATGCCCTGCTGGCCAAGCCTGTGCTCCCCAGGTGGACTACACCCTGGTTTGGGCATGTGAGGGCCTCGCTTAATGTTCATCTGTCCCCAGGTGAAGACAGAGATCAGTGTGGAGAGCAAACACCAGACCCTGCAGGGCCTGGCCTTCCCTCTGCAGCCTCAGGCCCAGCGGGCACTTCAGCAGCTCAGACAGAAGACAGTCAACTACATCCAGCTGGTGGGTGCCCGTCCCCTGTCCCAGGCACACACTCAGGGTGTGCTGCACCTCCACCCTGCTCCTGCGCACACGCACATGCTCACTTCAGCTCACCCACGTACTGGTGGGAACACGCTGCCCTCCATCCCTACCTGTTCCCTACAGTAGCAACGTGTGGTGGCTGCACTCTGTTCCCCTGCCCTGCCCTGCCCGGCTCACCCACAGGGACTCCTGTGAGACACTGTCCCTCAATCTGCCCTCCACGCTGCATACACACATCACCCCTGGGTTCACCCCTCAGCCCTGAGCCCCTTCCTGTCCCAGACTCCCTCTGCAGCCCCCTGACCACCCCCTTTCCCCAACCAGGGTCCCTCTGCCCCAGTGGTCCAGCCTGCCCCCTTTCAAGCAGAATGGGTCCTCAGCTCTGAGGATAGGCTGGCCCAAGGGTGATGCCTCCTTGAGGTGAAGGCCCTCTCCACTGTCCTGTCCATTGTCCTTGCTGGGACTTGCTCCTCTAGCAGAGTATTCAAAGGGGCAGAGTTGGGGCAGCGCCCAGGAGTGGCCTCTTCAGAGGGACCCGCATGGCAGGATGGGGGAGGGGAGCCCCGGGAGAGGGAGATGACAGCAGGTTCCCACCTCAGGGAATTCTTGTTGTCGAGGGTGGGCCTGGGCCCTCCCCCGCGCGGTGCCCTCACGTCTCCCCCTGCCCCTCGGCAGAAGCTGGACCTGGAGCGGGAGACCATCGAACTGGTGCACACAGAGCCAACGGACGTGGCGCAGCTGCCATCACGGGTGCCCCGAGATGCTGCCCGCTACCACTTCTTCCTCTACAAGCACACCCATGAGGGTGACCCCCTGGAGTCTGTGGGTGAGTGGCCACAGCAGGGCTCCCGCGCTGGCCCACAGCTGGGTGGGCCGCCTGCAGGGGCCATGGGGCGGCAGGAGTCCCAGGCCCACCGCGGCTCACCTCCCTGTTCTCTGCAGTGTTCATCTACTCGATGCCTGGCTACAAGTGCAGCATCAAGGAGCGCATGCTCTACTCCAGCTGAGAGCCGCCTCCTCGATTCCGTGGAGCAGGACTTCCCAGCTGGAGATCGCCAAGAAGGTGGGTGCCCATTCCCTAGGGCCTCGCCTCCCAGGGCCCTGTCACCCCACCCTCCACGTGGGGCATCAGGGTCCCGTGAGAATGGCAGAGCAGGGGCATTGTTGCCCTGTTGGTTGGATGGGGAGACTGAGGCCCAGGGGGCAGTGTGCATAGCCCAGGCCGCCCAGGTAACTGATGTCTTGGACAAGCCCCAGCTGTGACACCCATGTCTCTCCTTTTCCTGGGTCTGGAAGGTAGGTAGGGGGTGACAAGGCCTACAGGGCAGCAGGCCCTAGGCTCTGTGCTCCTGGAGGTGCGTTTCAGGTGGGGATCTGAGAGGACACCCCAGGGCTAGAGTGAGAGAGGTCAGGGGGGTGCCCCAGGAGTGGGGGTGACCAAGGGTGGTGTGTGTTAGGGCCCTCCACCCTTGGAGTGACCGACCACTGCCTTGCCCTGCACAGATTGAGATTGGCGACGGGGCGGAGCTGACGGCCAGCTTCCTCTATGACGAGGTGCACCCCAAGCAGCACGCCTTCAAGCAGGCCTTCGCCAAGCCCAAGGGCCCCGGGGGCAAGCGGGGCCACAAGCGCCTCATCCGTGGCCCCGGCGAGAATGGGGACGACAGCTAGGTGGCGGGACCCGAGCCCTGCTGGCATGTGGAACTGTGGGGCTGCCCCTACCCGACCCCGACCCCATCCCCGCGGCCACCTCCCTCCTTCCCAGCCTGGGCTCTGGGGTGACCTCCTGTGGGCAGGAGGGCTGGTGAGTGAACATTCTTGCAGCTTCCGAGGACCACTGGGCTGGCATTTTGCGACCCTCCCCCTCTGCTGTTCCTGCCTCTCTTCCATGTGCCCAGGGCATCTGGGGACCCTGCCCAGCTGGTTCAAGGGGCTGGGTGGGGGGCCTGGCATGAACCTGGCCCCCAGGGGAACTGAGACTAGGGTCCCAGCATGGCCCAGAAGCCTTTGGCCACAAGGGGTGCAGTCATTCGGGGCTGGGGCAGGGGGTCATTGCAGGACGAGATGGTTGAATGCTGTATTTTTTAAAGAATAAAATATTTTTAAATCAACAGCTGAGTCTGGCCCTGAGGGACCACCTCTGGCACCGGGAATGGGGAAGCCCTGAGCATAGAACTGTCCCCTCCCAATGCAGAAGGGGCCTGTTGGCCTGCTAGGTGGAGCCCCAGCCCTCCCGGCTGCAGATGTGTGGGAATCTGTGTTCCTGTATACGAGGGCACAGCGTGGAGAGGCCGGCTTGTCGATGGGAGCTCCATCCAAGAGGCAGGCACACCTCTGCTGTGATATAGGGGATCTGGGTAGATTCGTTTTCTGTGGCTGCTGTAACAAAGTACCACAAACTTAGTGGCTTAAAACTACACATTTAGGGCTTCCCTGGTGGCGCGGTGGTTGAGAGTCCGCCTGCCGAGGCAGGGGACACGTGTTCGTGCCCCGGTCCGGGAAGATCCCACATGCCGCGGACTGGCTAGCCCTGTGAGCCATGGCCGCTGGGCCTGCGCGTCCGGAGCCTGTGCTCCGCGGCGGGAGAGGCCACAACAGTGAGAGGCTTGCATACCGCAAAAACAAACAAACAAACAAACAAAAAAACTACACATTTATTCTCTCACGGTTCTTAAGTCTGAAATGAGTCTTACAGGGCTAACGTCACAGTTTTAGCAGGGCTGTTTCCTTCTGGAGGCCTCGGGGGAATCCATTTCCTCACCTTTTCCACCTTCTAGAGGCCGGTTGCATTCCTTGGCTTGTGGCCCCTCCATCTTAAAAGCCAGGGGCATAGCATCTTATCTCTGATTCTGCTTCCCTCTGCTTCTGTGATCATATGGCCATCAGTAGTCAAATCCCCTCTGCCTCTGTCTTATAAGGACATTGTGATTGTATTCAGATAATCCGGAATACTCTGCCCATCTCAAGATCCTTAACTTAATCCCACCTGCGAAGTCTCTATCACATAAGGGAACATATTCACAGGTTCTGGCAATTAGGACATGGACCTCCTTGGGGGCCTGCCACACTGAGTAAGCTCTGTCCACTAGGTTTCCTGGCTGCCGTGGCCCTGAGGCATGGTGGCTGTTTCCGTGGACCTCTGGGTCTTGGTGTCTCCAGCCGGTGTGTGCATGTGCAGACTTCACTGTCATCTCATGGGCCCTCTCTTGGGTACCTGCATTCTGCCCTGAAGGGCCTGGGTTTCTGGTCCCAGGGAGTCTGGGAGAATCTCCCTCAGGCTTGGGATTCAGCAGGAACCAGAACTTCATTCTCTGCCTCTGAGAAGTGGGTGGAAGACCCCGCCCATCCTGGGTGGGAGTTGTGCAGGGGTGGGGACATGTGGGGCTGATGATGGATTCAGCTGCTCGATGGGCACCGTCCTTCTTCTTGAGAGTGCATCTTGGGCTGGGACTCAGGGCAGTATCCCATCCCTGGGGCCTCTCTCAGCCCCTACTAAAGCCCTTATTTATTTATTTTTAAAATTAATTAATTAATTTTTGGCTGCATTGGATTTTCGTTGCTGCGCGCAGGCTTTCTCCTGTTGCGGCGGGCAGGGGCTACTCTTCGTTGCAGTGCATGGGCTTCTCACTGCAGTGGCTTCTCTTGTTGCGGAGCGCGGGCTCTGGGCTCTAGGCTAACGGGCTTCAGTAGTTGCAGCACACAGGCTCAGTAGTTGTGGCTCGTGGGCTCTAGAGCACAGGCTTAGTAGTTGTGGTGCACGGGCTTAGTTGCTCCAAGGCATGTGGGATCTTCCCAGACCAGGGCTCAAACCCATGTCTCCTGCATTGGCAGGCGGATTCTTAACCACTGTGCCACCAGGGAAGTCCTGAAGCACTTAGAATTGTAGGGAGGAGAGCTGGAACCCTAGCCAGAATCCAGAGAAGGAGACCTGTCCTTTCCCACCCCGAACACTTGTTCTCAGGTGAGCAGGAGGACAATGCCATCGCCCTCAGACTGCTAAACCACCTGGCCCTGTGCACCAGCTGGACGCCTGGCAGCTTGGCGCCTGCCTGCCATGACACCCATCCAGAGGTGGGCACAGAGAAGCTTCCCCCTCCCAGCAGAAGCCCTATTTGTTCATTCATTCAACCATGACTCAGAAACACTCTCTGTGCCTGCCCAGGGCTGAGTGCTGGAGACCCATGGATTCAGCAAATATTGAGCACCTGCTATGTGCCGGGTACTGTGCTGGGCTCTGGGGACACAGACAAAGAGGTCCTTGCCCTCAAGTAGCTGACGTTCCAGCAGAGGAATAAGAGAATATACAAGAAACCATGAAAAATCAGTATCATGGTATGTTAGCAGGTAAAAACTGTTAAGGACAAATTACGTAAAAGAGCTCAGGAAAACCCAATCTGGGGTAGGAGGTTTATAAGAATGTCAGAGAAAGCCTCATTGAGAGGGTGATGTGTGAGCAGAGATGTAAAGGTGGTGAGGGAGGGGGCTATGTGAGTATCTGGAAAAAGCTTCAAGACAAAGGGAATGGGGACTCCCTGGTGGACCAGAGGTTAAGACTCCATGCTCCCAATGCAGGGGGCCCAGGATTGATCCCTGGTCAGGGAACTAGATCCCTCATGCCGCAACTAAAAGATCCCGTACGCCACAATGAAGATCCTGTATGCCACAACTAAGACCCAGCACAGCTAAATAAACAAACAGCACATTCAAAGGCCCTGGGGCAGGAGAGTACATGGGTGTGTTCAAGCCACAGCTAGAAGGCCAATGGCTGGAGACTGGTCAGGGAGGCAGTGAGAGGGCAGATACCATAGGACCTTGCTGGCTATGATGTAGACTGGCTTTGACCCCAGAAAGGGCCGTGGAGGCGTCTGAGCAGAGGAGGGACCTAATGTGACCTAAGGGTCTAATGAGAATAAGCTTTGGGGCTTGAGAGCAGAATCAGGACAGCCCTGAGGAGGCGATGACTGCACTGGTCTAGGCAAGAGGTGATGGCGGCTCAGACCAGGCTGGTGGATGTGAAGGCGGGGGGCAACGGGCAGATTCCGAACCTGGAGCCAGCAGGACTTGCTGAGGGTCCCGGGTCACCTTGAGGCTTTGGGCCTGAGTGATCTGTTACGATTACCTGGGTCAGAAGGATCGTGTGAGAAGAGCCTCAGTGGAGGATGAGCCAGGAGGTCTCAGCTGGTCCAGCCATGGGGTTTGTTCTCTGATGGTGTGTTGGGAATGCATAGGAGTCCCTGCTCCTAGAGGAAGTGGCAGCTGCAGTGGGGCAGGTGAGCCTGGGCAAGGCCAGTGCTGCCCCCCGACCCTGTATGCCAGGCCCGGCATGGCACACAGCCCTGGGGATGGGGCCGCAGGGCAGGAAAGGGCAGTGCGGGAGCTGCTGGCCTGAGAGTGCTGCCTGGGGGCAGGGGCTGAGCAGGCCCTGGCATGGGTGTCAGTAGCCCACCCAGGTCTGGCACTGCCCCTAATTCCACTCTCTCACTGACCTTAGACTGGGCTCTGGGTGGTTGTTTCTCCCCAGACTTCCCAGAGGACCGGTGTGAGGCCCATGTGGGATGTGGAGGGTTCTTAGGACAGGCTGTGGAGAAGAGGGGTTGGGGGGAGAGTGGAAAGAGGAAGAGGTGAAGGGGCCGGCTGCCACCTGACTATGCAAATGGCCTGACTCATTGTATCCCCGCCCCCCACCCCGACACCCCTGCCCTGGGCATGGGGTGGGGGAGGGAAGGGGGCTAGGTTATTGCGAAATTCTCACTTCCTCTGTTCCCCAAGCCGTCACCACGGGAAGGGGCTGTGAATGCGAAGCATCCTTCCCTGCAGCTGCTGCCTAGTCTGCCAGCCAGACCCTCTGGAGAAGCCCCCATTCCCTGTCATGGTAGGACAGCAGCCCTCAGTCCCCAGGGAAGGGGACAGTGGGAAGTGGTAGGGAGAAAGGTGGGATTGGTGGCTGCAATGGTGAAAGGGACAGTCACCCAGGTGGCCCTGGGGAAACTCACTGAACCCTGAAGATATCAGAGCAGAAGACCTTCTCTGAGCCATGAGACACAAACCCATTGCTTGGGTGAGGAGGCTGGGGCCTAGGGCTGCGCTCAGTGGTGGTGCTGGGCTGCGAGCAAGGGGAGCACCCAGGCTGGGCCCTGTCTGCCCTTTGCTGCCCAACCTCCCCTCCAATCCGTTCTGACCCACAGCAGGTTGAGTGCTTGGGCTGGGTGAGGTGGGCAGACGGGGAAAGAGCTGGGCAGTGCCCACTCTGGCCAGGACCCTGGGTGGTAGACAGCCTGAGCCCCAGCAGGAGACCCTCATTCCCACCTCTTGGCCAAACAGAGAGGGAGGGCTGGGAGAAGCCTGGTAGAAAGCAGAGGGAGATTTTCAGGGGGCTGGAGGGAAGGGAAGATGCCCCCTTGCTCAGGAGGAAAGAGAAATGACCTCTGAGGAACGGAAGGGGAGAGTCGGGGAGATCCTGGGGGGCCTGTTGACCACCTACCTGGCTCTCCTGTCCAGTTGGGGTTTGGTTGAGTGAAAGCTCTAGATCATGAGTCTGGATTCCAGGTCTCAGAACCAGTTCTGACTCCCCGTTCTGAGTCAAAGGCTGGGCCTCAGACCCGAGTCCAAGTTCCCTGTGGGCCTTGGAGGTGGGATGGGCACTGGGCAGAGAAACAGGAACCTCCTTGGAGGGCTGGGAGCCCTGCGGGAGACCTGGGGGGGGGCAGGAGAGGTGGAGCTGGGGCCGTGCCCTCACACGGTGCCCACCCCACAGGGCCCCTGCCGTGCCCGGCACCCCCTTTCTCTCCTGGTGCAGGCGGTGGCACTGGCTGCAGCCCTGGCCCAGGGCACCCTGCCTGCTTTCCTGCCCTGTGAACTCCAGCCCCACGGCCTGGTGAACTGCAACTGGTTGTTCCTGAAGTCCGTGCCGCACTTCTCGGCTGCGGCGCCCCGGGCCAATGTCACCAGCCTCTCTTTGCTCTCCAACCGCATCCACCACCTGCATGACTCCGACTTCGCCCACCTGTCCAGCCTGCGGATCCTCAACCTCAAGTGGAACTGCCCGCCGGCCGGCCTCAGCCCCATGCACTTCCCCTGCCACATGACCATCGAGCCCAACACCTTCCTGGCCGTGCCCACCCTCGAGGAGCTGCACCTGAGCTACAACGGCATCACGACCGTGCCCGCCCTGCCCAGGTCCCTCGTGTCCCTGTCGCTGAGCCACACTAACATCCTGGTGCTAGACCCCACCCACTTCGCCGGCCTACACGCCCTGCGCTTTCTGTACATGGACGGCAACTGCTACTACAAGAACCCCTGCCACCGGACACTGGAGGTGGCCCCGGGCGCCCTCCTTGGCCTGGGCAACCTCACGCACCTGTCGCTCAAGTACAACAACCTCACGGAGGTGCCCCGTCTCCTGCCCCCCAGCCTGGAGACCCTGCTGTTGTCCTATAACCACATTGTCACCCTGGCGCCCGAGGACCTGGCCAATCTGACCGCCCTGCGCGTGCTGGACGTGGGTGGGAACTGCCGCCGCTGTGACCATGCCCGCAACCCCTGCATGGAGTGTCCGAAGCACTTCCCCAAGCTGCACCCCGACACCTTCAGCCACCTGAGCCGCCTCGAAGGCCTGGTGTTGAAGGACAGTTCTCTCTACAGACTGGACAACAGATGGTTCCGTGGCCTGGGCAGGCTCCAAGTGCTAGACCTGAGTGAGAACTTCCTCTATGACTGCATCACCAAGACCACGGCCTTCCGGGGCCTGGCCCGGCTGCGCAGCCTCAACCTGTCCTTCAATTACCACAAGAAGGTGTCCTTCGCCCACCTGCACCTGGCGCCCTCCTTCAGGGGCCTGCTTTCCCTGAAGGAGCTAGACATGCACGGCATCTTCTTCCGCTCGCTCAGCGAGACCACGCTTCAGCCGCTGACACACCTGCCCATGCTACAGATTCTGCGTCTGCAGATGAACTTCATCAACCAAGCCCAGCTCAGCATCTTCGGGGCCTTCCCGGGCCTGCTCTACGTGGACCTGTCGGACAACCGCATCAGTGGAGCTGCAAGGCCGGCAGCCACCTTGGGGGAGGCGGACAGTGGGCCGAAGATCTGGCTGCCGTCCAGGGACCTCGCTCCAGGCCCACTGGACACCCTCAGCTTGGAGGACTTCATGCTAAGCTGCAAGAACTTCAGCTTCACCTTGGACCTGTCACGGAACAACCTGGTGACGATCCAGCCAGAGATGTTTGCCCGCCTCTCGCGCCTCCAGTGCCTGCGCCTGAGCCACAACAGCATCTCGCAGGCGGTCAATGGCTCCCAGTTCGTGCCGCTGACCAGCCTGCGGGTGCTGGACCTGTCCCACAACAAGCTGGACCTGTACCACGGGAGCTCGTTCACGGAGCTGCCGCGACTGGAGGCGCTGGACCTCAGCTACAACAGCCAGCCTTTCAGCATGCAGGGCGTGGGCCACAATCTCAGCTTCGTGGCCCAGCTGCGCTCCCTGCGCTACCTCAGCCTGGCACACAACGACATCTGTAGCCGTGTGTCCCAGCAGCTCTGCAGCGCCTCGCTGCAGGCCCTGGATTTCAGTGGCAATGCCCTGAGCCAGATGTGGGCTGAGGGAGACCTCTATCTCCGCTTCTTCCAAGGCCTGAGAAGCCTGGTCCTGCTGGACCTGTCCCAGAACCGCCTGCATACCCTCCTGCCATGTACCCTGGACAACCTCCCCAAGAGCCTGAAGCTGCTGCGTCTCCGTGACAATAACCTGGGCTTCTTCAACTGGAGCAGCCTGGCCCTCCTGCCCCAGCTGGAAACACTGGACCTGGCGGGAAACCAGCTGAAGGCCCTGAGCAATGGCAGCCTGCCGTCTGGTACCCGGCTCCGGAAGTTGGACCTCAGCGGCAACAGCATCGGCTTCGTGACCCCCGGCTTCTTTGTGCTCGCCAAGCGGCTGGAAGAGCTCAACCTCAGTGCCAACGCCCTCAAGACGGTGGAGCCCTCCTGGTTTGGCTCCCTAGCGGGCACCCTGAAAATCCTAGACGTGAGCACCAACCCGTTGCACTGCGCCTGTGGGGCGGCCTTCGTGGACTTCCTGCTGGAGGTGCAGGCTGCCGTGCCCGGGCTGCCCAGCCGAGTCAAGTGTGGCAGTCCGCGCCAGCTCCAGGGCCGCAGCATCTTCGCACAGGACCTGCGCCTCTGCCTGGACGAGGACCTCTCCTGGGACTGTTTTGGCCTCTCCCTGATGGTGGTGGCCCTGGGCCTGGCTGTGCCCATGCTGCACCACCTCTGCGGCTGGGACCTCTGGTACTGCTTCCACCTGTGCCTCACCTGGCTGCCCCGGTGGGGGCAGCGGCGGGGCGCAGATGCCCTGTTCTACGATGCCTTCGTGGTCTTCGACAAGGCACAGAGTGCAGTGGCCGACTGGGTGTACAACGAGCTGCGGGTGCAGCTGGAGGAGCGCCGTGGGCGCCGGGCACTCCGCCTATGCCTGGAGGAGCGTGACTGGCTACCCGGCAAGACGCTCTTTGAGAACCTTTGGGCCTCGGTCTACAGCAGCCGCAAGACCTTGTTTGTGCTGGCCCACACGGACCGGGTCAGCGGCCTCTTGCGTGCCAGCTTCCTGCTGGCCCAGCAGCGCCTGCTGGAGGACCGCAAGGACGTCGTGGTGCTGGTGATCCTGCGCCCCGAAGCCTACCGCTCCCGCTACGTGCGGCTGCGCCAGCGCCTGTGCCGCCAGAGCGTCCTCCTGTGGCCCCACCAGCCCAGTGGCCAGGGCAGCTTCTGGGCCCAGCTGGGCACAGCCCTGACCAGGGACAACCGCCATTTCTACAACCGGAACTTCTGCCGGGGCCCCACGACAGCCGAATAGCACAGAGCAACAGCCCAGCGTGCCTCATCGCCCCACCTCTACTTGCCCCTCTGCCTGGGATGCCCCAACCTGCCTTGCTCTGCGAGACCACTGCTCTGCCTCCCCCTCCCCTCAGCTCCCTGGAATATAGCAGGCACTTAATAAATGCTACCGGAGGGCCAACCCCTAACCCTGAGCTCACTGGAGGTGTGAGTGGGAGGAAAAGGGGAGAATTCTCCAGGCCTTCCTAAAATGAAGGGGAGCAAGAGGTGATTTGGGGGTAATTGTCATGGAGAAAAAGGGAGGGCCCACGGGGCATGGGTCCGCAGGGGAGGGAAGATGCTAAGGGCAATTGTGTTCACTGGCATCTTTTCAGGGGAGTCTGAGGAAGGTCACCGAGTGCGGCCTTGGTCTTTCCCAGAGAGCAGGCTGGGTCTTCTGCCCCTGTCAACCCCTCCCCAGATGCCCAGGCCTACCGAGCTCAGCATTCCTCTGGAACTGGTCTCAGGATCTGCCTCCCTCACCAGATGGAACTGAAGCTGCCTCAAGGGCAGAGAACCTGCAGGCCCCCTTCATTTCTGACTGGCGCCAGATTCCTTGGAGGCAGCGGCCCTGGGGAATGTTCATTCCTAAGGAGATAGGGAAGATTTGAGGCAAGTTCAGAGGGGTGATTGCGCCCTCTGGTGGCCATTTCTGTGCTGCACCCAGGAGGCTGGTCCAGGCTGGGGAGAGGAAGGCCTGAGGGTGAATCCTGGCCGCAGCGAGCTGAGAGTCAGGGAAGATTCTAGGGTGAGCTCACAATCCATCCCTTTCTGTTTCCACCTAGAGCACATGCTGAGTCTCTCTGTTCTGACATCAAATGGACACCTAGATGAGCCGCCACCTCTCACAGCTGACTGCACTTAGGTGAGAGTTGCAGCCAGGATGGAGTATGTGTGTGTGTTTCTAGTTTTGATACTAGATTTCAGTATAGATTTTGGGATACTGCCAGGAGCCTTGATGCCCACATGCCCAGTGTTTGGAGACAACCTGTTCATGGTCTCCACAAGTGTTTGGGGAGTTGTGGGTTCTGTCAGGCCCAGAGTTCTTGTGGTGCTTTGCCCAGGCCGGCTGCCTCACCATCCCCACAAGTAAATCTGCCCTTCGAGGAGCAGAGGAGACACTTGCAGCCTCTCAGTCAGAGCTGCGGCCTGGGGCGGTGTGAGAGTGGAACCAGCTGGCCCAGGCCAGTTTGGGGCAGCTCAGGGCCTCTGGGCTGGAAGGTTGGAGCTCATGCAGACCTGGCTAATTTTGCAGCCCTGGTGGGGCTGGGAGGCTGCTTTTTCCCTCCCTCCAGGCCACAGGTGGGAGAGAAATATAGGTTTCCTTCTCCTTTCTGACCTGGGTATAGGGGTTCCTGCAGGGGGCTGGCATCCCCTATTATCTGCCTGCCTGAAAGGAAGAGAGAGGAGGATCTCTGACCCACCTATCAGAAGCCCCACAAGGGCCCTGACCCAATCCGGCTTCTGGAAGGGCAGGCTGAAGTTATAGCGTGGCCCCATGAGCTTCCGTGGCCCATGCCCGGGGAGAAAAGAAAACAGGAACCATCCTTCCCCCAGGCTGGAGTCTTGGGGGAGGCCCCTGCTGAGTGGCTCTGAGACCGCTCTGGCAACATCTGGAGCAGGAGTCAGGACCCTGTCCAGGGCACAACATTTTGCATGTGGGAAGCACGATTTGCCTGTCTCAGACCAGCAGAGTCTGCCCTTGGGTAGTTCCCAGCTAGAGCCTCCACATACACGGTCACTCGCTCACGCTCCCAGACCTGGTTCTTTTGGGGCTGAGGATTCAGAAGAAGAGGAGATGAAGCATGGGGGCTATGGTAGGAGCACTGTTGGGCTCCGCTTAAGTGAGTCTACGGGTCCATGGTGCTTGGTTCAATCTGCAGGGAAAGGCTCTGCTGCTGTCTATGGCGTCGGGGACAGAGCCACTAACCCAGGCCCCACAGGGGGCGCTAGGAGCTGGGAGGGATATACGGTGGTCAGGAAGGGTGCTCGTGGCTGGCTCCCAGCCCTCTCCTCCACACTGCTGGACATCCTCGACACTGCCCACAGCGCAGCTCTGCAAGGCTGTGGAAGAGATGGGCCTCAGGTCAGATTACCTGGGGCGATCACCAGCTCTGCCATTTGGGTTATCCTGTGCAGGTGACCTACCTTGCAGAGTCTGTTTGCTCATCTGAAAATGGGGATGGCCAGAGTTACTCTGCAGGCTGTTACAAGGGTTTGTGGTAACGTGTGTAAAGTCTGGGAAACCTAGCGGGTCCTTGGTGGTCCTTATTAGGTAAAGGACTTATGCTGAGGACAACTAGCTGATATGGCTTCGAGATTTTCTCTCTCCACCCAGAGATGGACCCTCCTGAATCAGGGCCCCTGCCCAGAGCACTGAACGGGGTTTGGAGGTAAATGTGGTTGCATCAGAGGCTCGTGAAGCTGGGAGGAGGACCGGGGTGCCTGCGGACCCTGGTGTTGCCTCCTTGTGCTTCTTTGTTGTTGGGGAGCAGTGTGTGCTAGACAAGTAGAGGGCATGAGACTTAGGACAACTTGACGCGAAGAAATGTAAATGTAAGGAAATGCTACCTGCTAAGATTCTAAGCTACAGCTCTCCCTTTCCCCCTTAATACATTTTATTTAACACCCTAGGCTTCTAAATATTCTTGGGAAACTTCCATGACATCATACATTTTCACACTTGGACTCTTATTAGAAGCCAAGCTTCTCCTGTGTAAGCAGTTGATAAACCCACCCGCGCCCTCCAGAACATTCCATCATCCTTTGTTCTCATAACCACCAGCAGCAAGGAGAAGTTGAGCTCATGACCTTGTTGACCCAGCTGGCTCTGAGTCTTAATGAGAAGGAAGGTGGGTCTCATTAAGCATTCAGAGAGAAACACGACCCAAGGTAGAGGGGAAACCACACTGGGCGGAAAGGAGGTGGAGGGAGTTCCAGGCGTGGGAACGTGTAGGACAATGGAAAGGCCCTGAAGGCTTTCGTGAGGGAACAGAGCTGGGAAGGCTGAGTGAGGCATGTTTCCTGAGCAGAAAGGAACCGCATGGTTTTTCCAAGGGGACGTGACTTCCATCACGCCCAGCGGCCTGCCCAGGTGTGTGGCTTTATCTGATGGGACCAGGGCTCAGTGAGCTCTCTCAGTGCCTGGGCTGATTAGGGGCATGGGGCCACCCCCAGCTACCCCTGGAGCTGAGACAGGCCAGCGAGGCCAGGAGGCTCTGTGTCCTCCATCTTCGGCTCACCTATTCTTTCTGGTAAAGTAGCCTTGGGTGTTCTCACTGGTCCCTATTATGGGCTGAATGTTTGTCCTCCCAGGGGTTGAAACAATAACCCCCAGGTGATGGCGTTTGGAGGTGGGGCCTTTGGAAGGTAATCAGATTTAAATTAGGGCAGCAGGTGGGCCCCTTGTGGTGGGGTTAGTGGTGTTATAAGAAGAGGAAGAGGGAAAGGTCACGTACATTTTATAGTGAGAAAGCAGCTGCGTGCAGGCCAGGGAGAGGGGCTGTCACCAGGAACTGAATCTGCTGGCACCTTGACCGCGACTTCCATTCTCCAGAATGGTGAGAAACAAATGTTTGTTGTTTAAGCCCCGCAGTCTGTGGTGTTTCGTTACAGCTGAGACAGTCCCCTTTCGTTCACTCAACACATTTGCTCAATGTCCACTGTGTGTGTCAGGTACAGTGCACAGCATTGGGGAGAGAGAAGCAAGGAGAATGACAGGGAAACGGTCAACAGGGGTGGTGACCAAGGCTTTGAAGGGAAGCCCGGGGGGAGGCCAAGTGATGGTGAGAACGCAGGAGGGGCTGCCTTAGTCCGGGGGCTCAGGGAAGGTCTCCACACGGACCCTTGTCCTGCGTGAAGAGAGGCATCCCCACCACGATCCAGGGAAGAGGAATCCAGGAGAGAAACAATGGCTAACAACACTGAGGTCTGGAAGCTGGTGAGAACGTCCGTGGGTATTTGAGGCCCAGGAGTATGCTTCCACACGTGAGGCAGAGTGAACAGACTGGGGTGGGATGGGAGATGAGGCTGCAGAGCTGGATGGGATCCTGATCCCAGAGAATGTCATCAGTCTGTGTGACAATCTAGAATTTAATGAGTGCAATTCGAAGACCCAGAAAAATTTTCTACAGAGGAGGGACAGGATGTGATATATATGTTTTTTAGGCTGCACTGCACGGGATCCTAGTTCCCCAACCAGGGATCAAACCCGGGCTCCGTCACTGTAAGCGCCAAGTCCTAACCACTGGACCGCCACGGAACTCCATTTTTTTTAAAAAGCTCTCTCAGGCTGCTGTGTGGGGTAGAGGCTGGGGCGGGTGCCAGGATGATGGTGGCATGAGCAGGATGATAGCAGTGGGAGGTGACAGGAAGTGGCCTGGCCTGAGGTGTATCTTTGAGGTAAGACGTACACGACTTGCTAACAGTGTCATGCGTGGGCAAGACAGAGTTGTTTTCCACATGAGAGGCGGCAGTAACTGGGTAGATGTGGGAAGATGAGGAGAAAGGCAGGAAGGGGAGGAGTGGGCAGACCCAGGGCGCCCTCAGGAGCTGCGTGGTTCAGGTGCTTGTTTGCTGGCCCTCAGTGACATACAGCTGGAACTGGAAACCCAGTCTCCCCCAGGGCTGGGGGAGATCCTGTGCAGGGAGGGGAAGGGTTACATGCAGTTAGAGATGAACCCAGGGGGTCCTCAATGTTCAGAAAAGGACCAGTTCAGGAAGGAGGAGGGCAATCAGGAGAGGTCAGTGGCACGGAAGCTTAGAGGAAGCTGTAAAAAGGCCAAGGACAACCACCTCAAACACTACTGGGAGATCCAATGAAAGGAAAACAGGAGGCCACTGGATTTGGCAAGAAGCAGCAAGATGTGGCAAGAAAAGAGCGGCCTCCACAAGGAACAGGCTGAAGGACCAAGTGGGGAGGGCTAAACAGAAAAGGGGCAGGACGGAGGCAGCAGCTAGCTGGGGGTCAAGACTGAGGGAGAGCCTGCTGCAGGCCAATGGGGAGAAGGCAAGAGATAGTTGCAGGAATGCACGAGAAGCCAGGGGACCCGGAACACGAGGGGCATGAGTCAGGGGAAGGAACACAAACGCCTCCACTTTGAGGGGAGGGGCGCGATCACAGGTGCAGCTGGTGCTGGAGGACCTGCTG